GTGCGCGCGGTGCCCCCCCCCGAGCCGTGGACAGGGGGCCTGGCGGGGTGTTGGGCAGGGGCGCGCTATTGGGGGGGGCCCTCTCTGGCGCCTAGCGCTGGTGGTGGTGGCGCCGTCGCCTTTCCGGACATGTGGTGTCTCGATTTTGATTTCAAGGCGGGGCCCCCAGAGGTCCGGGTTCACCTGGGGCCAGTCTCTCGCCCCGCATCCATCTTGCAGGGGCCTTGGGGCCCGAGCGAGCGCCCCGGGTGCCGGCGCCAAATCGTGCGAGGAGGACTACGCGGGCTTCGACCCGAGCTCTGGTCCAGAGGGTGCTGGCCACGGCCGATCTATCGCTTTCGGAGCCCGATGGCGGTGGGGGAGGTCGCGCGGTCCGCGGCTCGCCGCTTGCGCGGGGAGCAGCCGCCGGCGCCGCTGGTGGACGACAGGGTCTGGGTGCTGGCCGAGCCGACCAGGAGCGCGACGGTCGGGGCGACGGTGGATCGCTCCGACTCGCGTATCGTCCCCGGGACTGCGCTGGTTGGGCTGTTCGCCTTCGGCGAGGGCCTGGGGCGCGTGGGGGCGCTGCTGGCCGAGGGCCTGCCTGGCTACGCGGCGCGGGGGCGCGCGGAGGCGGGCCTGGGCGATTTCCCCATTGCCGAGGGGGCCTCGGCAGGTCCGGGCGCAGCGGAGCCGGAGGACTTCCGCGGCCGCCTGGGCTGGCGCGCCGCGCCTGATGCTGCTGGGGCTGCCGGAGCGGTGGGAGGCGCGGCGACGCCGCCGCCGCCGACGGCGCGGGGCTCGGATGGGGACCTGCGCGTCCTGGGGGCGGACTATGACGCGCAGGGCGAGCGGTTCAAGACGTTCCGAGCCGCCTGCCGCGTGTCCAAGCTGGAGACCTCCCCCGACTGGCCGGCCGATCGAGGGCCCTGCGTCTGCCTGGACCGTGCACGAGAACACGGAGCGCGCCAGCGGGGCCCCGAAACTGCTGGTGCGAGACTTCCTGCGCACGAAGGCCATCGGGGATAATGGCATGGTCGCTCATGAGCTGCGGGTGCTCTGCGAGATCCTCTATTGGGCGACCGTCTATTATCAGGTGAACCTGGGAGGTTTGATGTGCTTGGAGACGGCCGCGCGGCGAGTGGTGGGTCTGGTTGCAGTCTGCTCCGACCCGGCCGAGCCTGCGTGGGCCCGCGTTCGCCTCGGCGCGGGCGCCGCGACGTGGGGCGACATCGCGGGCCGGGCGCCGTGGCAGTTTGCCACGAGGGAGATCAAGGAGCAGCGCGAGTCCCAGGCGGTGATCGGTTTCGACAAGGGATCCTTCCGCGGACAGCTCGAGGACGAGACCGCCGACGGGCGCGCGAAGGGAGGGCCCGAGCGGTTGCCGCCCAAGGGCAAGAAGGGGTGCGGGGGGGGGTTGGCGCCCGCCCCCCCAGCGGGGCATGGCGGTCCCCGCGGCCGGGGGGGAACTCGCCCCCGGCCAGGGTGCAGGGGTCGCGCGGGGCCGGCTTGCCGCCTCACGCATTGCCAGGGAGTTGTTCCCGCTGCCTTGCTGGCTGGCGCTTGCCTGGGTCGCCCGAGACCGACCCCTGGCGGGGCTGGGCCCTCTGGCGGCGCGAGAGGCTGGCGCTGAGGCGGCGGGCGCGCTGAACTGGCTCGCGGGCTTTCAGAACGGCCCGACGCCTTCGAGCCCGATCCGATTCCGTTCGAGCTTTCGAAGTGGATTTGCGAGTTGGTCTCGGGGCGGTACCCAGGTTCTGAAGCTTTGAACGCGCTGCCGTGCGCGGGCTGTTACGTGGGTGCTATCCGTCCGATGGGGCGGGTTGCCGCGCCCGCGTTGCGCTCTTCAGATAGGGCCTCGTCTCCTTGGCCGAGTCTGTGGGGGGCTGCCCCCGTTTGAGGATGTAGATGCGCGCCGGGCGCGTGCTCGCGTGCAGCGCGCTGCTTGCCCGTCCTCCACTGCGGCGCCGTGCTTCGACCCGGCGCTAAAGCGGAGCGCCAAGACCCATGGGCATTTCATAGCTGGCCCGCGCTGCCGTGGCCTGCTGAGGTGGGCCCGAAACCGCGCTGCCAGGTGGGCTTCTTCTTCGCGGAGAAGGGCGGCGGAGAGGCGTCGTCTCATCCTGGGCGCCCGCCCCGCGAACGAGGGGTCTCGCCTCTCAGCGCCGAGGGCCTCGGCCGCGTGGAGTTCGAGCTCCCTGAGGTTGTGGGCCCGTGGGGCCTTCAGGCCCAGCGGCTACTGCGGTGTTGTGGCCTGCGCCTGGGGCTCGCTGACGTGCAGGATTGCTTCCATGGGCTCCGGCTGCCGGAGTGGCTCTCCGAGTGCTCCTGCCTTCCCGAGTTGCCCGCTTTCGTGCTGGGCGTTGAGGGCCAGGGCTGGGAGGGCCGACCGCTGGAGATGCGCGATCAGCCCCTGCTGGGGGGCCCCCCCAAATGGGTTTCACGTGGAGTCTGTGAGCGGCCCAGCGTATCGACGAGAGCCAGGTCCATGCGATCTCTCCCCAGTTGTCCCAGAGCCCGCTGGCGGACCGAGGCGGGCCCCCCCGTGTTTGGGCCGACAGTTCCTGGGGGCCCTGCGTCGCGCCAGCGTCGACGTAGGTGACCTGGGAGTGAGTAGCCTCAACCTCGGAGCCTCTCGTCGCCGATGCCATCCATTAGCCAGCTCATCCTTGGCTTCGACGAGCGGGGCCTGCTGCTGCGCGGCAGCTTCGTCAGCGCCGAGGCCGAGACGCTGGGCACTGAGGTTCCGGGATCACGCTGGGAGACTCGGGTCGCCCAGATGCGCTGCTGGTTGATCTGGCGGGCTCTGAACAGCCTGCTGCGTCGATGTCGCCTGACAGGCTGGGCGGTGGAGGTCCTCGTGGGCCACTGCGCGTTCGCAGGCCTACTGGCGAGCAGCGCCCTCGGCGTCTCCCGTGCCGCGTACGCGTGAATGCGCAATTCCTGCTGCTGTGGCCGGAGGCCCGCAGAGGGCTGGAGGCTTCCGAAGGGTTGCTGGTGTTATTGTGGAGCGACTGTGGCCACCGTCAGCAGCCTCGAGGCCGGCGCAGTCTTTGAACGCTGGCTGGCCCCGCGCGATGGTCGCCGAGGTGGGCCGCGTGCTGGAGCGCCCGCCTCCGCGAGCACGAGGGCAAGGGGGGCGGCGTGCCCGTCGCCCGCCGCGGCGCGCGAGAGTCGGCCTAGGTGGCTGCGGGCTGTTGGCGGGGCGCTGGCGGCGAGCTGCAGCTTGGCGACGCGGGTGGCGACGGGGGGCTGGGCCTGGCCTGGGAGGCGGATCCCAGCCTCCCCGAGGTCTCAGCGGCAGGACTTGCGAGCGGCCGCTGGCGCGCGACGCAGGTGCAGCGCTGGCGGCTGGAGGGGGGCGTCCTCATGCAGGAGGCCCGAGCTTTGGTGATGGGCGTCCGCCGTGTCGCCCAGTCTGTGTTCGGGGCCGTCTGCCGTCGGCTGTTCTTGCCAGATGGCATGCCAATTGTTTTATCGTTAAATAGGAGTCGAGCAAAAGAGTTTGCCCTTCTCGTCCAGATTCGCAGGTTTCGTGCTTCTTGTTTCGCCGGAAACGTGGGAGTGTCAGTCCGATGGGTCCCGTCCGAGCTGAGTCCAGCCGACTGGGTCTCGCGTCTTTGATGAGAAAGGAGGTAAGGGGCCCCTCGGTGCACAGCTTCTCGACGTTCTGCCTCCGCTGGGCTTCAGTTTTCAGGGCACCCCCAGGGCTTGCGCCCCCCTAAGTCTCCTGGGCAGCGGTCTCCATTCAATGTATGCAGTCAGTCTTTCGAGCCTTTCCAGAATGTAGCAAAGAAATGTGCGTGCCAATGCTGGTCCCGTGTGCTCCGAGAATGGCCTGGCGTCCTCGTGCCCCATTTAGGCTCCAGCTTTTCGGGCGGGCTCGGTTCCTCGCAGCTCTTCGGATATGCGCGCGGCGGCAGACGCTCGCGCGGGCAGGGTTGACGCCTGCGGCGCCTGGCGGGCCCCCTCGGCGCGTCGGCCGAGGCCGCTGGAGGGGGCGGGCCTGCTGCGCCGAAGGCGCGGGCTCCGCGGCTGCAGCGCTCGGCGGCGACGGGCCGGGGGCCGCCTCCGGCGCCGCGGGGGCCGCCTCCGGCGCCGCGGGGGCCGCCTCCGGCGCCGCGGCGCTTGGCGTCGGAGCCCGGCCGGGCCGCGCTGCGGCCGGCGCCGCGGCTCCCCGAGCGTGACGGGGGCGCCCCCCAAGGCTTGCGGCGCCAGATCGTGGCCGCCAGCGACGAGAGCGGCAACGCCCTCGACGGGCCGCAGGTCGCGCAGGCCAGCGAGCGGCGCGAGAAGCAGCTGCCGAGGAGGGCCAGCAAGCGCAGGCGGACCTGCGGGGCCGAGGCGCTGCTGGACAGCGCAGCCGGGGCAGGGCAGATCTCCCTGGGGGCGGATCGGTGTTCGCCCCCCGCGCAGCGGAAGTGCGGCCTGGAGCTCGACGCCTTCCTGGAGTTCTGCGACAAGGAGCCGACGCGGCCCCTCCGGACCGCGGCGCATGTGGACGAGGCCCTCGTGAACTGCATGAACCAGCTGTTCTTCGACGGCCACGAGTCCGCCAAGGGCGACCAGGTGATGGCAGGGCTGATGTACAGCTTCCCCGAGTGGGTGCGAAGACTCCGCGGGCCTGGAGGTGCCACCGGGGCTGGCGGAAGCCGGCGCTGGGCGGAGCCGCCGAGCCTGGCCGCCGGCCCTCTGGGGCGGGATGGCGTGGCGCATAGTGGTGCGCAAGCAAGGCCTTCCAGATGGCGGTCTTTTCCGGCTTGCGCTGGTCTCGGGCAAAATTCGGGCCTGGCCGCCTGCTCGCCCTGGCGAGCGGCAACGTCATTGCGCCCGCGCCAGGGGTGCGCCGTCGGTAGTCGCTGCTGCTATTCTCCGAGGGCGAGCCGCTGAGGATCGAGACGGGCTTGGCGGTGTCATGCTCGACAGCAGCTGGTCTCAGTGCGCCGCGCCCTCTTCGGCGAGCTCGCCATCGGGGATCCCGAAGAGCCAGTCTGGAAGTTCAGCTACCTGCAGTTCCTGGCGATGTTCAGGTCGGCCTTGCAGGATCTGCAGCTGGATCAGCGCATCTTGCCGTGCCCAGCCCGACGCTCGGGCCCAAGCATCGGTGTAACCAGGCATTACAGAACGCTCGAGGATATTCAAAAGCGAGGTCAGTGGAAGCACGCCAAGTCCATGCAGAGGTGCGAGAAGGCGGCGCGTCTGGGCCAGTCGCGGGCTTTCCTTCAGCCCCACCTGCGAGAACGCGGACAAGCTGCGAACGTCGTCTACAGGACATGCTGTTCGGAAATGGCGCGAGGGATTTTATCCTGTGGGATGGGCAAGCCTTTGCCGCAATTCCGTTCTAGATCCTTTTTCGGGCTCCAACTCCATTGGGCATGCTGCCTCGGGGAGAGGCTTCAACGACTGCGGGTTTGACAGTCAGAATGGGGCCGACGAAGACTTCGCTCGCCCAGTTGGTATCGCTCGAATTCGTGCCGTTGTCGCCAGAAAGGAAGTCTTAGCTGCCGCCCTCGGCCCCCTTGCGCGTCGCGGAGTGCAGCGGCGGACCGAGGGGGGCAGCGGAGGCGTTCGGCCCGACGTCCGTGGGGGGCCCCAGGCGCCGCAGAGTGCGCGCGTAGTAGGATCGCGGCAGGAAGTCAGACATGCCTGGCAGCGTTGAAGTTCATGAGAGTTTTTGCCCGTGCTGAGGTTCCTTTTTGTGCTCGAGCATCCCGTCGACAGTGCAATTTGTTGGGTACTCGCCGCAGTTGAAACAAATCATGGCTGTAGGTAGAATGCGCGTTCGTGTTTGTGAGCAGTGCTAGTTTGGAGCCCGATGGAGGACGCGCACCAAGCTTTTGTTTTTCAGTGTTGACCCTTAGGATGCCTGAGTGCTCGAGAGGCGCTGCCGCAGTTTCGGAGGGATTTGCTCGGCCTCGGGGGCGCCCCGCGTCATCCTCGGGCAGGGCCCCGTCTGGGGCCGCGTGGGCCCCCCTCGCGTCGCCCCGCCCGCCGGAATTAGCCGATTGCGTGGTCAACTGTTTGTTCAGCCGCCGCGCTGATTTAGAAGCGGCTAGCCTTTTCCTCGCCCTCCCAATGAACCCTTTGGGACGTGGGCTTTCTATGCGTGTGTGAGCTTCGCCAAGACGAGTGGCGCGTGGCGGCAAAAGCGCTCCCAACCGAATGCGCAACTAACCAATTTATGTGCGCCCTCTACGAACTCAGAACCTAGCTGCCTCGCGTTCCTCAGCTTTGCGTATCGCAGAGCGCGCGCACATCTGGGCATGTCGCAATTTGAGAACCGTCGGGATTTGCGAAGCTTTTGTGCGCGCGTAAATGTATATGCGGCCTTTTGCGAACTCAGCTGCCTCGCGCTCCTCAGCTCTGTGCATCGCCTATCGCAATGTCGGAATTGCAGGATTTGTTAATTTGTGTGCGCGCGAAAATGCATGAACTGTGCGGACTTTGAAACGTTCGCGACGTTTTCCAAATTTTTGCACAGTATTTGGGCCTGCTGTCGGCTTCTTGGGGGCCTCTTGGGGTCTGTTTGGGGGCTCTTGCGAGCTTCTTGGGGCCTCCTGAGGGCTTTAGAAGCCAAGGGTTGGAAATGCCCATTCGGGTCCCCCGTCTGGGCCTCTTGGGGCCCTCCTGGGCTGCTTTGAGGCCCTCTTGGAGGGTTCTTGGGCCGTCTTCGTGCGATCTTGGGGGCCTCTTCAGCTGTCGTGGAACGTCGGGAAGCAGAAAGGGCGAGACAGCCAAAATCTTTCAATGGCCCAAAGAAATCAATTATTTGTATCCTCGGCTTCCCTTTTGGGAGGGCTCTCGGAGGCTTCTGGGGCTTCTTGGGGACCTGTTCGGCAGTTTGGAGGCCATCTTGGGCGTCTTGGAACGATCTTTCGGCGAATCTGGGCTCTCCTGGATCGTGTGGACAGCCCCCTGGGGCCTCGTGGTTCTCCTGGTCGAAGGGGCTGTACCAGGAGGCCCACGCGAAAAAACCACAGCGGCGCCCAGGAGCGCCCTAGAGCGCCCGAGAAACTGGGGTCCGGGCTTGTAGTTCACCGTGCAAGCCTTCTACCTTTCACGACTGCGTGAGTTTTGTGGCGCCGCACTTCGTGCCAGAGGCACGGTGGCGGAGATAGGAATGGGTAATAGGTGGCCTGGACTGGGGAGGCCTTCGATCTGCCAACGGATGTTGTCGCCCCTCACAGGTCGCACAGAACAGCCCATCCGAAATCAACAACAGGGCACCAAGCCAGTACAATATAGCCTCAGGACGCGTTCAGGACGGCGTACCGACAACTTCTTAGGCTCCCGCGGGCCCAGTCCGCGTTTGCACGTCTTCGTGGCGCACGCAGGCAGCATGTTGTCTTCCACACCTTTGGCCCCGCTGATGGTTGGCAGCCGTGTGGGCCTCAAGTGCTGCAACCGTCAGGCGAAGCAGAAAACGCGGCATAAATATATACTTTCGGCGGATTTCCGCGGATTTCCTGTATCTGCGCGGGAATTCCCTGTCGGCGCCCCCGGCGCCGCCTCTGGCGCGCTCTGCGCGCCGGGGAGGAGGGTCGGCGTAGATCCAAGAAGTCTGCAGAGCTCCGGAAGAGCATGCTTATGCAGATGTTCTTCCTGTAGTCAGGACTCCGGGCAGCATGAGTCGCCAGCTCGCGCTGTGGCTGCATGGCCAGGGAGCTCTCGCCTGGCCAGCGGACGAGACGACCGCCTGCCGGGCAAGCGCTTCTGCTCGGGCTCGCGCGAGGTCGTCCCAGAGGCCTGCCGGGGATATTTCTCCTGTCGTGCTGGAGCTTCGGGGCAGGTTGCAGCCCCGTGCAGGCAAGGTGCAAACCCGTGCAATCGAAAGGGTTCGACGCAAGACATGACAATTGGTTTCTTCTGCTTTTCTCTGCTGAGCAGTGGTCTGCGCTTGAAGATGGCTTCCTCGACATCCCCAACCGAGCGCTGCGGCGCTGCGCGCCCATCCCCGTAGTCGGGGCAGCTCTGCTGAGGCGGCGCCTTCCTCGTCCTCAAAGGAACTTATCTTGACAGCCGAAACGTGAGATGCAAGCCAACGCAGTGGCGCAAACATAGTTTATGCGCTTGTGCCATTCGGGTTGCCGGACAGACAATCCGAGGGAAGCGAACTTGTTTTACAGGCCAATTGTTGACGCTTCGCGTATCCCCACCAGCCCATCCAGAAACGATGCTCAGGGGAGTTGAGGTGATCAGGGAAGTCGGGGAGCATGCAGAATAACAAAGGGCGGGGGAAGCTGTCACAGACCCCGAGAGGGGGAGGATGGAAGAGGAGTCGTCGTCGTCGTCGTCGTCGTCGGAGGAGGAGGAGGAGGAGGAGGGGGAAGAGGAGGAGGAGGAGGAGGAGGAGGAGGACGGAGAAGGAGGAAGAATCGGAGGAGGAGGAGGAGGAGGGGAAGGAGCTTCTTGGGGGTCTTTTGAGGGCCTCTTGGAGGGCTTTTTGGGCGCCTTGGGGCATCTTGGGCGCCTCTTGGGACCCTCTTGAGGCGCTCTGGGGAGCCTTCGGGGCGCTTTTGGGGCCATCTTGGAGGGAGTCGATCAAACAAGAGGGGGGGTTTAATTAGCGCCCCCCCTCGGAAGCCCCTAAAATCGCCTCTTGGACCCCTCTTGGAACGCTCTTGGAGTGCTCTTGGGCGCTCTTGGGGCCGTCTTGGGGCTCTTTTGGGGCTCTCTTGGGGCCCTCTTGGGCCATCTTGGAGCCATCTCCAGGCCTCGGATGGCCATCGGAAGCGAAAAGGCGAGAAAGCAAAAATCATTGATTTTCCTTAGGTTTTGGGACGATTTTGGCCTCTTCGGGGCCTCCTTGGGGAGCTGTTTGGCCACTTGGAGTTATCTTGGGGCCGTCTTTGGGCTTCTTGGAACCATCTTAGGAGCCATCTCGAGCGATCTTGCGCTATCTTGAGCCATCTTGGAGCTCATCTTGGGTTCTCTGAGGCGCTCTTGGAGCCGTCTTGGGCCATCTGGGACGCTCTAACTACCCGCGGCCCCCCCCGTCCAGGTCCAGGGGAGGGGGTAGGGGGAGGGGTAAACCCCTCCCCAAGGGGGAAGAGGGAGGGGTGGAAGAGGATCTGCTCTAGACCACCTACGCCCAGAGGGCTGGTGGGATTATGGCACGCATGCCGTTGCGTGGTAGTCGAAAATGTTTTGGATTGGGGCCTTGGGCTTGCCATGATCCCCATTTCATTGAGTCGCATCATTTAAGTCGGCGAAGAATTTCGGCGTGGACCGACCGACAGTGCGACGAGACTCGCGCCCATTTTGGCTACAAAGACATGTTGGTACTGCTTCCGCACTGTAACGAGGACACGGCACATGAACATGTCGTTGTGTTCAGCAGCGAGCACTACCTGTTTCGACATTGCACTGGATGGTTCGCAGAACCAGAAGGGTTATTTGCCAAAGCCATGCGGGTATCAACAACGAGTACGCTGCCCGAGTCTATGGTCGAAGACATGGCTTACATGTCTTGGGGGTCAGAAGAATTCTTCAAGCGTGCGATCTATCCGAAGTTGTACTCTCTTTCTCTCTGAGTTTGGTCCATTGGATTGGAAACCAACGTCCTTGATATAAGAATGCCCAGGGGCCAATACTAATGACATTCATGGGCAGTTTCAAAGGGAATGCTCCCGTTCGGCAGAGAATCGTTGATCAATGTAATTCATACAAGGACCCATTCATCTGTTCGGCACATCACAAAGTCACCAAGGCCAGCCTTGCGGAAGCAAGGAACTCAAAATTTTGTCTGCGGCGAGCTGGGGATTCGCCATCGAGGAAATCAATCGTTGACGTTATCGCCCTAGGTTGCTGCATTCCAGTGTTCTTTCATCCCGCGCATGCGAAGCTCTACGAAATCAATTGGGACGGCTGGCCCGGCTGGTCAGCCTGCGTTTCCATTCCTCGCCGGGAGTTCCTGAATGGGGGCATCAATTTGCATCGGCATCTTGCTGCAATTCGTAAGGCCGAGGTCCAGAGCATGCAGTACCGATTGTTCAAGAACGCGCCCACATTCCAGTGCCAATTGGACGACAATGGGCAGGACCAACCATCGAATCTCCTGGGGTACCTCCAAAAAAAGTCCGTTCAGTGATTGCGCCAATGGCTTGACCACCGCCAGTGGCACCCCACAGAAAGACAAAGCTGACTGCGAAGCACATGATCACAAATGCCGCGGGGGGAACCTGACCCGGGACAGTACACCTTCGAGTTGAGGCAAGCCAAGTCTACAGAATAATCATATTTCCGTTGGAGAGGATTGCTAGTGTATATATGTAGATGTATATGTAGATGTATATGTATACGTATTTGTATATGCATATATATTTATATATGTATATGTATATGTATATGTATATGTATATGTATATGTATATGTATATGTATATGTATATGTATATGTATATGTATATGTATATGTATATGTATATGTATATATGTATATGTATACGTATATGTATATATATATGTATATGTATATGTATATGTATATGCATATGCATATGTATATGTATATGTATATGTATATGTATTTGTATATGTATATGTATATGTATATGTATATGTATATGTATATGTATATGTATATGTATATGTATATGTATATGTATATGTATATGTATATGTCTATATATGTATATGTATATGTATATGTATATGTATATGTATATGTCTTTGTATATGTCTTTGTATATGTCTATGTCTATGTTTATGTATATAGATGTATATGTATATGTATATGCATATGTATATGTATATGTATATGTATATGTATTTGTATATCTGTATGTATATATATATATATATATATATATATATATATATGTGTGTCAGTGCGTGCACGGGAAGGTTGTGAGCGAAGTGACTTGATGAGACAGGTCAGAAACGAACCAATTTAAATAGGGGACCCCTGGACTCCATAGCCTTTCTTCGGTTCGAGATGGCCCGGGTCCCAGCGGGCCACTGGGCTGTCCTCGCGCTGGGGCTTCCTCACATCTCCTCGCTTCTCTCGCCCGCGGGACCGCGCCCGTCGGCTGGGCTGCCGCCCTGCGTGCTGGAGGTCGTGTGCCCGCCCGCGTGGCTGCCGCCTTGGGACGGCGGAGACGCTCGTCCTCCTTGTCCCGAGGCGCCGCCTTGCGAGGCGACTCCCGCCGTCTGCCCGGCCCCCGAGCTGACGCAGGCTCAGGCGGGGCCTGAGGCGGACTCGCTCGGCGCCCTCGCGGCGGCGGTCCCTGGCGTGCTGGTGGCGCGCAGCTGGAGGCGTACCGCGCCTTGCGAGGCTGCTGTGGCCGAATGCCCAAGGCTGCGGAGGCCGCGATCGGAGGGCGTGATGGCGCTGCCCCCGCGAGACACGGGGCTGGAGTGGTGGAGGCAGCTTCTGCCGGGCCAGCGGCTCAGCGTAAGATGCAGTGACGATCAGGTGAAGCATGAGCGTGTGCTCCTCCACCCGAGCTTGCCGCCGGGCGCCCGGGCCGCATGGGCGCCTGACGGCGCCGAGTACGAGGAGGACTACACCGGCGTGAGCCCGCGGGCGGGGTCCGAGGGCGCGGCCCGGATGCCAGCAGGTGGAGGCGCGCCCGAGGGCTGGCCGCGGCCGGTCTACCGCTGTCGGGCGGCCCTCTCGGAGGAGGAGCTCAAGGCGGCGATCATGCGCGGCCGCGCGCTGGTGGAGGAGCGTCTGCCGGACCTCGCGCCCGGGCCGCCTGCTGAGGTAGCGGGCCCGGGCGACAGGCTGGTGGAGTGGGCGGACTTCTTCGGCGAGGCGAGGCGGCCAGCGTTGGAGGTCGATTACGACGCGCGGGGGGAGAAGCACAAGCCCATCAGGACCGCCTGCCGAGAGGGCCCGCAGGAGGCCTTCCCCGACCAGCCCAGCGAGGGGCCTGTATCGGCCTTGTCGGTATGCAAGAACATGGAGCGCACGAACGGCGACCCCAGGTCCTGGCGGAGGGACTTCCTGAGGTCCAGGGGCGTCGGCGACAATGACAGAGTGACGCATGAGATGCATGTTCTCTGCGACATCCTCTTCTGGGCCGCGGTCTACGACCAGGTGAATCTAGGCGACCCGATGTGCCTGGAGACGGCGGCCAGGAGGATCGCGGGGCTGGTGGAGGTGTACTCCGATCCAGCCAAGCCTGTGTGGGGCCGCGCCCGCCTGTACACTGGTGCTGCGTCCTCGGATGGCAACGCGGATCAGGCCTTGCTGCAGTTCGCCACCAGGAGGATCAAGGAGCAGCGGGAGGCCCAGGCGGTGCTCTCGTATGACAAGGGCCCGCGGCGCACCGAGGGCGACGGCACCACCGACGACGGCGGCAAGGGTCGGCTGGGGCGCCCGCCATCGAAGAACACGAAGGGAGGCGCGGGGGGGGCTGGCGCTCCCCCCAAGGGGCAATGATGGCCCCTGCGGCCGGGGGGAACCCCGTCCCCGGCCGTGACTCAGGGGTGACGCGGGGTCGGCTTGCCGCCTCGCGCAGTGCCAGGGAGCTGTTTCCGCTGCCGCGCTGGCGCCTGCCTGAGCTGCCTGTGGCCGACTCCGTTCGGAGCATGGCCCTGCGGCGGCGCGAGAGGCTGGTGTTCAAGATGGGTAACGAGGCGGTGGATGCTCTGAACTGGCTTGCTGGTTGTCGGGGTGGACCGGCCTACTTCGATCCCGACCCGATGCAGCTTGAAGTTTTGGAGCGGATCTGCGAGTTAGCCTCGCGGCGGTACCCAGGTCGTGATGCTCTCAGTGAACGCGCGGCCGTCCGCCGGCTGCTGCGCGGGCATGCACCGTACGATGGGGCGGGATGCCTCACCCGTGTCGCGCCTTTCAGAAAGGGCCTTGTTTCGTTGCCCGAGACAGTGGAGGGCTGCCCGCCGTTTGAGGACGTGGCCCCTCCAGAGGTCCAGAGATTCCTGAAGGAGCATCCCGAGCGCATGCTGCGCGCTGACAGTCCCTCTTCTACCGTGACGCCTTACTTCTACCCCGCGCTGAAGCGCAGCGTGAAGACCTACAGGCAGTTCATCAGCGACCTGCGCCGACGCGGCTTGGTCGGCTGGACCATGTGCCCGCGTTGCCAGGTCGGCCTCTTCGTTGTCGAGAAGGACGGAGGTCAGCGGCTCAGGCTCATCCTTGACGCCAGGCCCGCGAACCTTCTATTCGAGCCGCCGCCGGGCGTCAGCCTCTTGAGCGTGGAGGGCCTCAGCCGTGTCGAGATCGCCCTGCCAGATGGCCTGGGCCCCTGGGGCGAGGAGGCGGAGCGGCTCCTCGGCAGCTGCTCTTTGCTCGTGGGCCTGGCCGACGTGAAGGACTGCTTCCACAGGTTGCGACTTCCTGGATGGCTCTCCGAGTACTTCCGGCTACCCGTCGTGCCAGCGAACTTGCTTGGCGCGGAGGGCCAGATCTGGGAAGGCAGGACACTGGAGGGGCACGATCTGGTGAGTCCGTGCTGGGCCGTCTTCCCAATGGGTTTCACGTGGAGCTTGTGGGCTGCCCAGCGGATCAACGAGTACCTGGCGAGTTCCATCTGCCCGCAGCTGCGCGAGAGCCCCCTTGCTGACCGTGGCAGGCCCCCCGTCTTCGGTCCCAGCGTCCCCAAGGGCCACGTCTCGCACTACGTGTACGTCGACAACCTGGGGGTGGCCTCCACCGACGAGCCCATCGTCACCGATGCGATCGCGCAGCTGGTTGAGGGCTTCGACCAGCGCGGCCTCCTCCTCCACGGCAGCTCCGTGGGCACCGAGGTCGAGACGCTGGGCACCGAGGTTTCGGGGGCCCTCTGGAGGAGGAGAGTGGCGCAGAAGCGGTTCTGGCTCATTCGACAGGCCCTGAACGGCCTCCTGCGACGCCGCCGCCTCACAGGCTGGGCGGTCGAGGTCCTGGTGGGCCACTGCGCGTTTGCGGGATTGCTGAGCAGGGGTGCGTTGAGCGTATTCCATACGGGCTATGCTTTCATGCGGAAGTCATGCGCCGAACCTAGTATGCTGTGGCTCGAAGCCCGCCAGGAGCTCGAGACGTTCCGAGGCCTCCTCGTCTTCTTAGAGAGTGGCTGGACGCTGCAGTGGAACGATTTGGTGGTGGCGACCGACAGCAGCTTGGAGGCAGGAGCTGTCTCGACCACCCGGTGGCCCCGATCGCTGGTGGCCGAGGTGGGCCGCGTGCAGGAACGCGCCCGCTTCCGGGAGCCCGCGGCGGTCGAAACCGACGGTTCTGCCGGGGCAGCTCCTGCTGCCCGCCGCGGTGCGCGAGAGGCGGCGCTGGAGGCGGCTGGCTTCTGGCGCGACGCCGATGGCGAGTGGCGGCTGGCCGAGGGCGCGATCGACGACGACGAGCAGGCCGCTGCGTGGGAGGCAGACCCGTCCTTCCCCGAGGTGCCCGCCGCGGGCCTGGCGAGTAGCCGCTGGCGCACCGATCAGGTGCAGCGCTGGCGATTCGAGGAGGGCATCCTTATCAAGGAGGCCCGAGCACTGGTGATGGGCGTCCGTCGCATCGCCCAGTCTGTGTTCGGTGCCGCCTGCCGTCAGCTGATTCTGTCGGATAACATGTCAGTTGTACTGTCTTTTAGCAGGAGTCGTGCTGAAGAGTTTGCTCTCCTCGTCCAGGTCCGCAGGTTTCAAGCCTACTGCCTCGCAAGGAATCTGAAGGTGTCTGTGAGGTGGGTTCCGTCTGAGTTGAATCCCGCCGATTATGGGTCTCGTGTTTTTGATAAGAAAGGGGCTAAGGAGTCTCTTGGTGCACTTCTTCCCGATTTTTTTTTTCAGAGGAGTCCAGGTCTAAAGGTCCCCCTGAGGTTCGCGCTCCCTTCCATTTTTACCCGCCTGAGAATTCTGTGCAGTGCCCGTTGCAGTGTGACCCTCAGAGGGCTCTGTTTGTTCTGCCTGAAGTGCCTGAGAAGTCTGACTGGTCTCTTGATGCCCGTGTTTGCTCTGAACCTGTGTATTCGAGGTGCGGTCTGACGTCCTCGTATCCCGTTTCGGCTCAAACCTGTTTGCAGGCCCACTCCTTTGACGGGCCTTTGTCCTCGCATGCTGCGCCGAGGACGGCGGCGGGGCGCCCCGCCGCCGCCGCCTGGGACTCCAGCGCGGCGGCCGCGTCTGCTGGAGAGGGCCGCGTCGGCCGAGCCTGCCGCGCCGACCTCCCGACAGCTGGTGGCGCGAGAGTCGGGTAGCAGGACCCCCCGAGGGCCGCAGCTCCTGCCGAGACTCACCGCGGCCCAGAGAGCGCAGGACTGGCAGACCAGGTTGAGCTTGGTCGAGCTGTCGCCAGCGCCCAAACTGCCCGGGCACGGGCGCGACCTCCAAGCCCTCCCCCAGGATTGGTCGCGCCCGATCGTGGCCGGCAACGACGACGGCAGCAGCACCTCCGACGATCAGCAGGTCGTGCCAGCCGGCGAGAGGCGCGAGAGGGGGCCGCTGAAACAGGCAGCTCGGAGGCGACGGGCTTGCGGCGCGGAGGCGTCGCAGGACAGCGCGGCGGTGGAGGGCCAGACGTTCTTGGAGAGGCGGTCGGTGTTCGGACCTGCGAGGAACCGCTACACTCGAGAGCTGGAGGCCTCCCCGGATTATTGCGACCAGGGCCCGCCGCGGGCCTTGACCATGGCCTCAGAAATGGACGAGGCGATGGTCGACTACATGAACCATCTGTCCTTCGAAGGCCCCGAGAGCGCCAAGGGCGATCAAGTGATGCAGGCCTCATGTACAGGTTCCCGGAGTTCTCGAAGCAGGGCAAGGCCAAGACACCTCGGGCCTGGAGGTGCCTCCAAGGATGGCGCAGGCTGGCGCCCGGGCGGAGCCGCCGCGCATGGCCGTTGGCCCTCAGGTGCGGGCTCGCCTGGCGCATGGTGGTGCGAAACGCGCTGCAGATGGCGGTGTTCTTGCTCGCGATGGTCTCCGGCTACTTCAGGCCCAGTCATCGGCTGACGCTGGCGAGAGGCAACATCATCGCGCCTGCGATGGGAGTGTGCCTTTGGTGGTCGCTGCTGCTGTTTCTAGACGACAAGCCCCAGAGAAGCAGGACAGAACTGTCGGACGTCGGGGTGATGTTGGACAGCGGATGTTTTCAGTGTGCCATGCCTATCTTCCGAGAGGTCGCCCGAGGGGATCCCGAAGAAGAGGTGTGGGCGTTCAGTTACCCTCAGTTTTCGGCAGTGTTGAAGAAAGCGTTGATCGACTTGCAGATTCGAGAGCACATTGTCCCTGATCAAACCAGACACTCAGGGCCCAGTATGGACAACGCTCGACGGTACAGAACGATCGAGGAGATGCAAAAAAGAGGGCAGTGGAAGCATGCCAAGTCGATGCAACGTTACGAGAAGACGGCGAGGTTGGGTCAGAGCTGGCCTCTCCTGCCGCCCCAGCCGCAAGGTATTTTGACACAGTGCGAGCTACATCTAGAGGACATACTGCTCGGAAAAGGTGCAGAGACAATTACCCTGTAAGGCGGCACGGCCGCCAGCGTAAGTACATTCTTGATTTGTTCTCGGGTTCGAACTCGAGAGGTAAGGCTGCTTTAAAGCGAGGCTTCAACTACCATGGTTTTGACAGCCTCAATGGGCCCAACGAGGACCTTGCTAGACCAGTCGTGCTTGCGCGTGTTAGGGCCGCTATATCTAGGCATGAGTTGATAGCCGCGTCTCTTGGGCCTCCTTGTGCGTCTTGGGGAACAGCGACCGATCGGGGGCGTCAGCCGGGTCGCTCGAAGGATTTCCCTTGGGGCCTCCCCGACGCCTCCGAATGCACAACTAGGAGAATCTTACAGGGAAGCGCCACCTTTCGAGCCGCGTTGAAATTAATGAAGGCGCTTGCCCGCTCGCAGGTGCCCTTTGTTTTTGAGCATCCGATAAATAGTAGAGTCTGGCACGCGCCTGAACTGAAGTCCTTTATCGAGCGATGTCGCATGCATTCTCGAGTGTGTGATCAGTGCCAGTTCGGGGCCCGCTGGAGAAAGCGCACGCGATTTTTGTTTTTCGGAGTGAACCCCCAGGACACTTTGAAAGTCCAAAGGCGGTGCCGCAGTGTTGGTGGTGTTTGCTCGGCTTCAGGGAAGCCCCGCGTTATCCTGGAAGGCAGGGCCCCCTCTGGGGCCACGTGGACACCTCTGGCAGCTTCGTATCCTCCGAAGCTGGCTGACTGCATTGTGAACTGTTTATTCTGCCGCCAGAGGGATCAAGAGGCGGCATCCTTCCTTTAACCCGCCTCACCCTCCCAGAGAACCCTTGGGATTTTGGGCTGTCAATTGCGTCCCAGTTTCGCCAAGACGAGTGGCATGTGGTAGCAAAAACGTTCCCCACCGAATGTAGCAGTTAACCTGTCAGTGCGTGCACGGGAAGGTTGTGAGCGAAATGACTTGATGAGACAGGTCAGAAACGAACCAATTTAAATGGGGGACCCCTGGACTCCATAGCCTTTCTTCGGTTCCCGCCCTCCCTTGTCTCCCTCTCTGATCTGTCGCCAGGCTGTCAATTGCGTCCCAGCTTCGCCAAGACGAGTGGCATGTGGTAGCAAAAACGTTCCCCACCGAATGTAGCAGTTAACCTATAGATATGTGTGTCTGTATATATATATATATATATATATATTTATATATATATATATATATATATATATATATATATATACATATCGGAGTAGGCCGGGGGGGGCCAAAACCGGTGCCATCATCCCCCATCCCCCATGGGCGCCCCCCTGAACCTTTGGGGGGTCACAGACCCCCCGGGACTGCCCCGGGCCGCTTCCAAATTGCCCACGACAGTCCACGCAGGCCGTACAAATGGCCAAGTAAGCCTCAAGAGGACCCGAAGACGCCCAAGAGCGCCCCAAGAGGGCCTGAGATGGCTTGAAAAGGGCCGACGAGGGCCCCAAGAGGACCTTCAAGAGGCAAACATCGGCTCATTCCCTTCGTAAGACGTACGTTTTCAGCATGCTCGCTGGCTTCGTCTTCGCAGTGCCCCAGACGCCCCCGCGGACAGCCTAAGAGAGCCCAAGATGGTCCAAAATGGTCGGCTTGTGGGGCTCATGGACCCCCCCGAGACGGCCCAAGAAACCCCAGGAGGCCCCCAAGACGGCCCCAGGGAGGCCCAAGAGAGCCTCGTTCGAGATCACGTTCCCGGAAGCCTCTCCGGGAACATGATTTCCGAGTTCCGAGGACGCCCGAGAGACTCACAAGACAGTCTAAGCCAGCGAGGCCCAAGAAGGCCCGAGATGGCTTGAAGATGGCTGAAGAGGGCCCCGAGAGGGCCTTCAAGAGGCAAGCATCGGCCCATTCACTTCGTAAAACGTACGTTTTCAACATACTCGCTTGCTTCGTCTTCACAGTGCGCCAGACGACCCCGAGGAACCCCAAGATGGCCCAAGAGAGACCCAAGACGGCCCAAGACGGCCCGAAAGGGTCGTCCTGTGGGGCTCACGGAATCTCCCAAGAAGGCCCAAGAGGCCCCGAAACCGGCCCAGGAGGCCCCCAAGACGGCCTCAGGGAGGCCCAAGAGAGCCTCGTTCGAAATCATGTTCCCGGAAACCTCCCCGGGAACATGATTTCCGATTCCCAGGACGCGCGAGAGGCCCACAAGACAGCCTCAGCGAGGCCCCAGAGGGCCTTAGATGGCTTGAAGATGGCCGAAGAGGGCCCTAAGAGGCCATTCAAGAGGCAAACATCGGCCCATTCTTTCCGTAAAACGTACATTTCCAGCATGCTCGCTGGCTTCGTCTTCACAGTGCCCCAGACGCCCCCGAGGGAGCCCCAAGACAGCCCAATAGAGACCCAAGACGGCCCAAAACGGTCCAAGAAGATCGTCCCGTGGGGCTCATGGAACCCCCCGAGACGGTCCAAGAGGCCTCGAAACCAGCCCAGGAGGCCCCCAAGACGGCCCAAGGGAGGCCCAAGAGAGCCTCGTTCGAAATCATGTTCCCGGAAGCCTCTCCAGGAACATGATTTCCGGGTTAAGAGGACGCTCGAGAGGCCCACCAGACAGCATCAGCGAGGCCCAAGAGGGCCCGAGATGGCTTGAAGATGGCTGAAGAGGGCCCCACGAGGGCCTTCACGCGGCAAAAATCGGCCCCTCTCGTCCGTAAAACGTGCATTTTCAGCATACTCCCTTGCTTCGTCTTCGCAGTGCCCCAGACGCCCCCGAGGAGCACCAAGACAGCACAAAAGAGACCCAAGAAGGCCCCAGACGGCCCAAAAGGGTCGTCCTGTGGGGCTCATGGAGCCCCCCGAGACGGCCCAAGAAACCCCAAAGCCGGCCCAGGAGGCCCCCAAGACGGCCCCAGGAAGGCCCAAGATAGCCTCGTTCGAAATCATGTTCCCGAAAGCCTCTCCGGTAACATGATTTCTGGGTTCCCAGGACGCCCAAAGACAGCCCCCAGAGGCCCTGGACACGCCGAAGATGGCTTCAGGACGGCCGACGACGCCGCCAAAACGCCCCAGGAGCGCCTCCAGAGGCCCTCAGAAGCCAAACATCATCCAATTTCCAATGGTTTTTGAAGCATTCTCGCGCTCTCCCATGTTCCGCCTCCCCACGGTCCCGGACCGCGTCAGAGGCCCTTCCGATCGCTCCAACACGGCCGAAGAGGCTCCCAAGAAAGCCCAGAGACGGCCCAGGAGGCTCCCCAGATGAGTTAAGAGGGCCTCGACACCGCCCCAAGAGAGCCCCAAGAGCGACCCAAGCGGGCGCGAAGAGCGCGACATTTCAAGGTCCCCGTCCGGCCTGAGAGGCTCCTGGGACGCCCCCGGAGGCCATCAAGAGGCTCCCACGAAGCCCCGTGAGGCTCCCAGGAGGCCACCGAGAAGCCCCAATCGGCCCCCAAGGGGCTCTTCCTCGGCCTCGTCCTCCTCGTTCTCCCTCTCCTCCTCGTCCTCCTTGGCCTCGTCCTCCTCGTTCTCCTCCTCCTTCTCCTCGCCCTCCTCCTCCTCCTCCTCCTCCTCGCCCTCCTCCGACGTACGAGCGACGGCGAGCTCCCAGCACGCGCGCACGCGCACGCGCGAGCGCGCGGCCCCGCCCGCCGCGCCCTGGCGCGGAGGTCACCGCGGCCGCCGCGGCGGCGCGAGCCCACGCGTCGGGGCGCGCGGGCGCGGCGAGCCCCGGGCTGTGCAAGCCTCCCCTGGCCTGGGGCGCCCTCGGGGGGGGTGCAGGCCGCAGCCTGTTCCCCCCATCGGTGTTCACCGGGCGTTGCGGGGGGGGGGGTCCAGAGTTCCCGAGGCGGCCCGAGCCCGCCCCGAGGCAGGCCACGACAGGCTAAGGTGGTCCCGAGAGGGCCCAAGACGGTCCCACGAGGCCCCGAAGACGCCCAATATGCCTCAAGACAGCCGACGAGGACTCCAACACGCTCCAGGACGGACTCAAGAGGCTTGGGCGCTTCCTGGGCCCTCGAGGGCCGCCTTGGGGCCCTCTTGGAGGCTTCTTGGGCAGTCCTGGGGGTGGTATTGGGAGTTTGGAGGGCCGCCTGAGAGCGTGGGGAAGGAATCGCGGCGAGAACGCCAAAATCTTTGAAACAACGAACGCAAATCAATGATTTTTGCCTCTCAGGGTCCTCTTGGGGGGCATCTTCGAGGCCTCTTGGGGCATCTTGGAGGCCTCTTGGGCCATCTTGAGGCCGTTTAGGACGTCTTGGAGGGATCTTTGGGCGTCTCGGGGCGTTCTGGGCCGTCGTGGGCCTCTCTGGGCCTTGGGGGCCTCTTTGGGCCCCCCATCGCTCCGAAACGGTCGCGAGAGAAAGCGCGAGAAGCCCCAGGAGAAGATGTCGCGATGTGGGGTCTGGGGCTCTGAACGACTCCTCAGGCGTGATGATTGAGGTTGAGAGGATGATGGCAAGGACCTGAGGGCACGCCCACTCCGTGCCCAGAGGCACGGTGGCGGATCTACGTAACCATGATAATCCGATGATCATCGTTCCGACAGATCGCATCGCATTTCCGAGCTCCAATGGGGGAGCCGCCTGGGTGTATTTCAATTTGCTGTTGGTTTGAATCGGGGGGTGGCAGTGACTCGGGTTAGCGGTCGGTAGATTGCGCGAGGTGGCAAATATCATCCAGGAGCAGCAACGACCCCATCCCCGACGGGGAAAAATGGGGTTGGACAAGGAACCGCGATTGACCATCTCCTGCCCAGAAGACGGGTGGGTTTTTGAGTTAGGAGATCACATGCTAGAAGTTGTCTGGGTCGGTTTCGGCGCATCCATCATCGGTAATTTGGGCCCCGAGATGCCGCCTGTGAGGCGGTCCGGCCGGTCTCGAGACATCCCTGCATTTATGGGCTTCGAGTTGCCCCGCGAGAGATAGTCCAGCCCATTTCGCTTCGGCTTCTTCGCCGCTGTCACGAGGCGGTCCAGCTTTTCTGGCTAGAAACATCCTCGCAGAGCGATCTTCGCCCTGTGCATCCTCGTTATTCTGGATTAGACGATGCTCTTGCCACACGGTATCAGATCCCGTTTCCTCGCTGGTCTGGGCTCGCAGTTGCCGTGGACTGTTCGTTTCGCTTGAGATCTCATTGCCACTCCGGGCTTATGTGCGTCTTGTGTCCTCACCTCACGTGGTCCCGATCTTTTTCGCCTGAGACATCGTCGGGATTGTGTTTTCGGTGATGCCCAGACCTGAGGTGGTTCAACCAATTTTGCCCGAGATCTCCCATTTCTGGGCTCAAAGATGTCCTGTCAATTTGTGTCACTTTTCAGTGGACACTCAGGAGACTGGAGCCCTCCTTGTTCCCAGTGGCAAACATGTCAATCGGGGCCACTTGTCAAATGGGCGAGGGTAGCTGGGCATTGCGTGAGGCGGGTTGCCCGTCGATTTCACACACTATTCACCCAGAGGGGTGGGCGGACTTCCTTGTCCTTGCCCTAAGATGCTGTGTGGCACTTCGTCGGAGGGCAGACCCGACGTTGCTCCATCAGCCAGACCGCTGCTGCTACTGCACCTCGCCTTGCCATTGCGCCAAAAAGAAGTGATATCACATCGCCTTCAAGGCCGGCTGGTTCGAAAGTCACGGGGCGTCGCGTGAAGTTCGCGGGAGGGGTCAGTGATATACCAGCACCAAGCTTGGCCAGGCCTTCCATGGCCTTTCGCTAGCTGCCCCTGAGAGGCTTGGGCAACTTAGGAGCTTCGATTCCTGGCCGATCCGACTCTTGGGTTCCAGTTTCGGAGAGCTGGCGCAGCGCGCCCCTGAAAAAAGTGCTGACGCTCTGACGCTTTCGACGCTCCTGACGCTCTTGACGCTCTGGCGCTCCTGACGCTCCTGACGCTCCAGGCGTCAGAGCGTCAGGAGCGTCAGGGGCGTCGGGGGCGTCAGGGGCGTCAGGATCGTCAGAGCGTCAAGAGCGTCAGGAGCGTCAAGAGCGTCTGGGGCGTCAGGAGCGTCAGGGAGCATCAGGGAGTGTCAGGGAGCGTCGGGGGCGCCGGGGGGCGTCAGGAGCGTCAGGAGCATCAGAGTGTCAGGAGCGTCAGGGGCGTGAGGAGCGTCAGGAGCGTCAGGAGCGTCAAGAGCGTCAGGAGCGTCAGGAGCGTCAGGGACGTCAGGGGCGTCCACCACTCCGGCGCCGCCGCTCGAAGCATCCTCACAATTTCGGCGCCGCCGCTCGAGACATCATCACAACTCCGGCGCCGCCGCTCGAAACATCCTCACAACTCCGGCGCCGCCGCTCGAGACATCCTCACAGCTCCGGCGCCGCCGCTCGAGCGTGAGGAGCGTCAGGGGCGTCAAGAGCGTCAGTAGCGTCAGAGCTTCAAGAGCGTCAGAAGCGTCAAGAGCGTCAGGGGCGTCAGGAGCGTCAGGGAGCGTCAGGGAGCGTCAGGGAGCGTCGGGGACGCCAGGAGCGTCAGGAACGTCAGGAACGTCAGAGCGTCAGGTTTTTTTTTTTTTTTTTTTTTTTTTTTTTTTTTTTTTTTTTTTTTTTTTTTTTTTTTTTTTTTTTTTTTTTTTTTTTTTTTTTTTTTTTTTTATATATATATATATATATTATATACTGGGTTTTTGAGCAAGAAATATATCAGAGGCGTCAAACATCATGACTTCTGGATGCGTAGATAAGAAGGAGTTCGTCAAGAACGACATGGGCGGGATCGAGCGGACCATTAGAGTGCGACTGCTACTTCGGGGGGGTATGGACCTCGAAGCCTTCGATGTGGAAACTGTCTCAGGAACGGCGCGGCGGTCGAGTCAGAGACTACTCGCGACCACGGCAGCGTGCAAGAAGCAATGCATCATCGCTTCCTTGACATCAACATGGTTTTCCTGAAGGGACGTACTTATCAGGATCTTGCTGAATCAACCGGTGGACAGGAACGTGTTGTGTGCATTACACTGCCACCTGGATCAGCATCTGTGCTTAGATCCCTCCCAGGGTTTGAGCATTGCGATGAGTCCAAGCACTGTTTTCAGTGTCTTCTTATTGAAGCTCAGAAAGATCACAGGAGGGTCTGGTCTCAGACCCACGTCTTATGACGAGGAGTTCGAGACAAGTTCCGACCCTCTTACAGCCAAGCACGTTGATGACATCAATATGGCCGGTGCTGAGGACACCATCGACAGGTGCGTCAAGTGTGTTGAGGATACTCCTGGCAAATGTAAACTCAACAACTGTGCTTGGAGGTACACGCAGGATGGGGACGGGAACGTTACACTTTATCAAGACGAATACATAAAGCAGTTCCGTGTCCTATACAACATGCTGAACTCAATGGCGCAGACGCTGACGCCAAGGCATCAGAGATGGTCACTGACATGTTTGTCAACCTAAGATGCGCTTTGGCTGACGCCGTAATGACACAGGTGTGTTTTGATGGTATATGTTCTATCCCCGTAGCGTGTCCGATGCCCGACCGTCGTGCAAGTGCGACGAATGAACGCGATTAACAGAAAAATGCAGGCTTGCGCTGAAAAAGGTCGTCTACCAATCGATGACTCCAACGGGTCATGTCGACCTGCACAGCGACTCCGGTTACCGGCGTCCTAGCGGAGATGCCGAAGACGAGGTCGAAGGCTATGCTATTCGCGGGGCCAATTCTGCTTCGGCGTGGAAACACGCCTGCTGGTAAGCTTGTCGTCCATCTTATCGACGCGTACTGCAAGTCTCACCGCTTGCCGGTCAGCTCAAGCTATTCTGCGGAAGCACCAGCAGCAGCCCACAACTTGGATGACTGCTATCCCGCGACCGCCACTCTGCATGAACTCTTCGCAAGGTCGCTGACACCCGCTCAGTTGAAATAGCCCCATGCTCACGATAATAAACGCTAGGGGATAATAAAGTTCGGGGTTCAGGGGGAGATAATCAAAGTAGCCCACCAGACCTCAGCATAATCTCGAAGTAAGAGATGATCAAGAGGAGACCAAACGAGCACGTTTTGAGACATCGTTGGCGTTTAGTCTTCATTAAAATATCCTCAACAATCGCTTATCTCGCTGGAGACATCCTCGACCAATCCCTTGTTTCGCTTGAGACATCCACAAACTATTGCTTATTTCGCTTGAGACACCGTCAAACTATTGCTTATTTCGCTTGAGACATCCTCGAACTAATTGTGTTTTTCGCTTGAAGCATCATCAAACTATTGCTGATTTCGCCGGAACATCCTGAAACTATTGCGTATTTCGCTTGAGACATCCTGAATCTATTGTTTATTTCGCTTGAGACACCGTCAAACTATTGCTTATTTCGCTTGAGACATCCTCGAAATAATTGTGTTTTTTTATTCTCGAAAGTCTCATTGTCTGGTTCTGCTCTCTGAGCAGCCATCTGCTTGAGCAGCTCTGCTTCAGCAGCTCACCTTGAGCAGAGAGAGATAGTGAGAGAAAGAGGAGAGAGGGAGGGAGAGAGAGAGAGAGAGAGATGATACTCTCTCTCTCTCTCTCCCGCCGTGCGCTCCTCTGAGGTTTATTATCGTCGGCCGTTTTTTTTTTTTTTTTTTTTTTTTTTTTTTTTTTTTTTTTTTTTTTTTTTTTTTTTTTTTTTTTTTTTTTTTTTTTTTTTTTTGTTTTTTTTTTTTGTTTGTTGTATATATATATATATATATATATATATATATATATATATATATATATATATATATATATATATATATATATATATATATATATATATATATATATATATATTATATATCATCATCGGCTGAGGTTTATTATCGTCGGCAGTTTTTTATCATCGGCAGTGGTCAATCGCAACTCCTGAGCTCTTCCGGAAGACGGCGGCACGCAAATGATACGCATTTTTTGAAAAAACTTCATTTTGGGAAAAAACTTTTTTAATTGCGAATTCCATCGTAATCCTTTCAAAATTGCGAAATCGAGCCGTCAGGCGCTTGAATGCCACATTGCGTTCGAGATTTAAGCACGCGACGCATTTATGAGAAATTTGCGTCGCACGCGCTTTTGCCCGAATATCGAACGCAGTGTGGCATTCAGGCGCGTGCGGGCTCGAATTCGCAATTTCGAAAGGATTTCAATGGAATTCGCAACCAAATATAGTATTTTTTTGTCAAAATAAGGTTTTTCAAAAAAATGCGCGTCATGAGAAAATTGCGTCGCACACGCTTTCGCCTAAATCTCGAACGCAGTGCGGCATTCAAGCGCCTGACGGCTCGATTTCGCAAATTCGAAAAGATTTCAATGGAATTCGCAATTAAATAATATATTTTTTTCCAAAATGAAGTTTTTTTCAAAAACATGCGTATCATTTGCGTGCCGCCGTGTTCCCGGAGAGCTCAGGAGTTGCTATCGACCACTGCCGATGATAAAAAACTGCCGACGATAATAAACCTCAAGAGGTTGTGCTGAGGGGTTGTGCTGCAGGGTTGTGCTGAGGGTTGTGCTGGAGGGTTGTGCTGGAGGGTTGTGCTGGAGGGTTGTGCTGGAGGGTTGTGCTGGAGGGTTGTGCTGGAGGGTTGTGCTGGAGGGTTGTGCTGGAGGGTTGTGCTGGTATTATATATATATTTTATGAGAGAGAGAGAGAGAGAGAGAGAGAGAGAGAGAGAGA